TGGTGGACAGGCCAATTTCTTTAACAAAAGGAAGAGTTTAATGGAAAAGTTATTTTGGTGGAGGGAGCAGCTGGGATGTTTGGCTACAGTTCTGCTGGCCATCTTCCTCAGCAACGGACGCTGTTGTCGCCTACAACATTCTGCCAAACTGGATTTTTACTGACAGTACAGATAGTCCTCGACGTACGGCCACAACTGAGCCCCAAATTTCCGCTGCTAACCGAGACGGTTGTGAAGCGAATTTTGCCCCCTTTTACGACCTTTCCTGTCAAGAGTTGTGAAGTGAATCGCCGTGATTGTTAAGAGAGTCTGGCTCCTTCCCCATTGACTTTGCTCGTCAGAAGGTCGCAAAAGAAGGACGCTGCGACCGTCGTAAATATGAGACAATTGCCAAAGATCAGAATTTGGACCACGTGGAGGCTGCAAGGGTCGTAAGTGTGAAAAATGGTCGTCAGTCGCATTTTTTTCAGGGCCGTTGTCACTTTGAACAGTTGCTAAACAAACTGTGGTAAGTCGAGGACCGGCTGTAGGGTTGTGTCTGTTTTAAGCATGACACAATGTGTGGGTCCGTGAGCCTTCAATTTTTCATCCATAGCTCCTTTGGCCTCCTGGAATCTGCAGTTGCTCCGTTCAGACATGGTTCAGTCCAGGAAGCATGCATGCCCACCCCTGGGTTCGCTCGGTGGTACATTCCTCCTTTGACGGCTTGATTTTTAACAAAGATGCATTGGTCCTCCCAAAAAGACGGATAGGAAATAACGTTTTGCAACAGCCCCTTCCAGTTTTATAACCATCTAGACTCCCCGTTGCCAAAAGCTTGGCCAAACACACAAACCCACACACACACAAACACACATTGTCTGTGGGATCTGGCTCTTCCTAAATCCCTTAGCAACTGTTGCAATCACAGCTTGCCTTGTTCTTGAGGCTGTTTCCCTGTTTAAATGTTGCCAACTCGCGGAGGCAGCCACAGGAGATGGACCGTGTCCTGGTGTGGCCTTGGCTGTGACCGCTTTCCTCTCCTCTGCTCGAGTGGCTACCTCCTGTGACCAGATGGGCAGGAGAGCAAGAGGCTGTTTTCTTAACCGGAGGTGCATCCATGCCACACACACAAGCACACACACACACACCCCTTGGAGCCCAGCTGTTGGCTTCCGACAGCTGTCATAGCAATGGAGTAAGAGGATGGCCGGCCGTAGGCTTACTCATGAAGTCAGAATTTGGGACTGGCCTCTCGGCTCACCCCAGGCGGCAGTGGTCAGCCAGATGGGGGACATCTGGAAGTGTCTTCAGCTGTTTGAGTATCAAAGGACCAAGCTGGTTCAGATGTACACTTCTGCTCTGCCCAAACCTGGAAAAAAAAAAGCAGAAATACTCTGGTGTGTTTTGACTCTTTAGTGTCATGTCATGCCAGGAAATGCCCGTGGAGGTAGAACGAGGCAGGATGAATCTAGCCAGCCAACTAAGGCTGAGTTCATAAAATACAGTCATCCTTGGCTTATGGCCTCAATGGAGCCTGCTTTGTGTGTGTGTGTGGTGGTGGTCGTAAAGCTAAATGCAGTCGTTGAATGAAAATCAGGTGAAGTATTAATATCGCTTTATAAAAGCTTAGTGAGGCCACGCCTGGAATGCTGCATTCGGTTTTGGTCACCACGTTACAAAAAAGATCTTGGAAAAATTCAGAGAAGAGCAACCAAGATGATTAAAGGCCTGGGGACTAAAACATACGAAGAACAGTTGCAGGAACTGGGTGTGGCCAGTCTAGAGAAAAGAAGGACTAGGGGGGGGACATGATAGCAGTATTCCAAGATTTGAGGGGCTGCCCCAAAGAAGAGGGGGTCAACTTATTTTCCAAAGCACCAGAAAGCAAGACAAGAAACAGTGGATGGAAACTAATCAAGGAGAGAAGCAACCTGGAATTAAGGAGAAACTTCCTAACAGTGAGGACAATTAACCAGTGGAACAGCCCTGCCTCCAGAAGTTGTGGGTGCTCCATCACTGGAAGTTTTCAAAAAGAGACTGGACAGGGTCTCCTGCTTGAACAGGGGGTTGGACTAGAACAGGGCTTTTCAACCAGTGGTACGGGTACCACCTTTGGTACATTGGCACCTGGCAGGTGGTATGCGACCATCCTAGAAAAGTGGTAGCGGGGGAGAGGAATGATCTGAACTGGTGGCAGCACCGCACAAGCCTGAGCGAGAGATGGCTGGAGCTGCAGGGCTGTCAGGGCTCAGCGGAAGTGCCAGGATCAGCACCAGGCTCCAGTTGGAGCTCGGCGCTGATCCTGGCGCTTCTGCTGAGCCCAGAAGAAGCACCGATCAGCTGGAATGTTGCACCATCTCCAGGGTCTTGTGATTTACATTCAGATGCTTGGCAACTGATTCATATTTATGACGGTCACAGTGTCCCAGGGTCATGTGAAGTGACCAAAACCTGCTGCAACCACCCAGCAGACGGGGGGAATAAAAACCAAACACCCCCCCACCTCCACTGCCAATCCTCAACAGAAATGCTCACAACAATGAAAACCTCGGACAGGAGGAAGAGTGCCGCCAGGCAGGCAGGCAGGCAGGTGTCTTGCTCGGCTGTGGCTTGAGGGGCACTTTTTTCAGTGCCTTCAGTCACTAAGCGAACTGTTGTAAGTCGAGGACTACCTGTACTTTATCACTTTTTTCCTTTTTTTTTTTTGGTCATCAAGTTTTTGACACCTTGCTAGGCGACTGGTGGTAGTCGGATATTGCCATATCCTAAAAGTGGTACAATGGGTGAAAAGATTGAAAAGCCCTGGACTAGAAGACCTCCAAGGTCCCTTCCAGTTCTATTCTGATTGATTAATTGATTGAGTGATTGATTGACCGTTAAACGAACCCATTGTAGTAAAGGCCAGTTTCCTGCAAAAGTATTCTGAATCGAGCAGGTAATCCTGGGAAATTGAAGGCCACATGAGGGGAAATGAGGACTCTTCATCTGAAGGAGGGTCTGTTATCACAGCTTTCTAACTGCATGTTGCTCTCCATCTTCTGGCCTAGTTGATTGAGAAGTAACAAAGTATAAACCTTGGATGGAGAAACAGTCTATTCCTTTATCTATAGATAAGTGGTGTTAGTCAGAATCATGAATCCTGGCACTGAAGATAAGTCAGTAACAATTTTGAGTCCCGCAGTCTCTGATTTAAATCCTGGACCACTGAGTCAAAACGGCCCAGTCTGTAGTGGTTGGACTAGCCTTGGACTACAGATAGTCCTTGACTTATATTGTGCCCCAAATTATGCTGCTAAGCGAGACATTTGTTAAGTGAATTTTGCCCCATTTTACGACCTTTCTCACCACAGTTGTTAAGTAAATCAGTGCAGCTGTTAAATTAGTAACATGGTTGCTAAGTGAATCTCGATTCCCCATTAATTTTGCTTACTAAACCGATGGCTGTAAGACAAGGACTACCTGTGTTTTATAACTCCATCACTTTGGGGGGGGGGAGGGCAAAGCTTCATATTTGGGCCTCATGTTGCCCCAAATGGTCAATGGCAGGACAAAAACGTCGGCTGAAATTTGTTCTGATTTGTTTTCAAGATGGTTAACAAATTAGATGCAATTCATTAGGCTGGCTTCCTGGGGGTTTCAATAACTTTCTTCTTCTTTCACATTGAAAGTTAGAGTTTGGCAACAATTTTGGTTGCCTTCCAAGGATTACATGAATGGCTTGGCCGAAAGAGGACGAACGGAGCTTGATGAAGATAGCTGACACAAAATGCCCGCAATGGTCAAACTTGCTTACAATTTTGGCCAACTAGTCATTCTAATTATTTTTGCTGAATGAAACCTAGTGAGTTTTCAGAATCTAGTCTTAGTCCGATGTACTTTGAAAGAAACTTTTGGATCTTGTTTAGCATTATGAAGTCTACCTCCTCATTAAAGTTATATTACATAACAGTGCAAAAAAAAAAAAGGATAAATTCTTAGGGCAGACTCGTTCAACAAAGATGATTAGGGGACTGAAGGCTAAAACATATGAAGAACAGTTGCTGGAATTGGAAATGTCTACTGTCTAATGAAGAGAAGGACTAGGGGTGATATGATAACAGTGTTCCAATATTTGAGGGGCTGCCACAAAGAAGAGGGAGTCAACCTATTCTCCAGAACACCTGAAGGCAGGACAAGAAGCAATGGGTGGAAACTCATCAAGGAGAGAAGCAACCTAGAACTAAGGAGAAACTTCCTGACAGAACAATTAACCATTGGAACCACCTGCCTCCAGAAGCGGTGAATGCTTCCAACACTGGAGGTTTTTAAGAAGAGACTGGACAGCCCTTTGTCTGAAATGGTATAGGGTTTCCTGCCTGAGCAGGGGGCTGGACTAGAAGACCTCCAAGGTCCCTTCCAACTCTGTTATTCTGTTATTCTTCAAGATGCTTCTAAATGGACTGGTTTACTGTTTTAATATCTTTCCAGGTTTTGATGCTTGGTAATATCTGAGATCCTCTTTATCTAATTCCTTGATAAGAAGGACTGCATTTAGCCTTCCCCACTGTCCCTAGTTTTTTTCTTCATTGGTACTTTTTCAGATTTAATTTCTTTGAGAAATAATAATAATAATAATAATAATAATAATAATAATAATAATAATAATAATAATAATAATAATAAGAAGAAGAAGAAGAAGAAGAAGAAGAAGAAGAAGAAGAAGAAGAAGAAGAAGAAGAAGAAGAAGAAGAAGAAGGAAGAAGAAGAAGAAGAAGTACTAAATGGAGTACTAAATGCTAAGAGATATTTTACACCTGTATCTAAATACTGCAAGTTTTTCCTGTTTTTGTTCCCTTTTTGCTCATATTCCCTATCAAAATATTTGTATTTCTGCCACTCTCATCCTGTACTTGCTCTGAAAGTGAATTATTTCCATAGCAATGGACAAGTGCAGTTTTCTCCTGTATCCCAACTGCTCTGCGATGCAGCCCCATGGATGTCCCATTTCTCATCTGTCCCTTTCTCTCTTTTTCTTGCAGTCTGTACTGTGCGGTGCCAAAAGTTCCTCATCTCCAAAGTGGGCGAAGACTGGATCTTCCTGATCCTGTTGGGTCTGCTGATGGCCTTGGTAAGCTGGGCCATGGACTTTGCTATAGCAACTTGCCTGCAAGGTAAGAAGATTGTAGATTATGACTGCAAAGGCAGAACTCCTGGGCTAGGACTCTGGAGCGCAAGACTTCTAAGAGGAGGCCATTTATTTTTTTTTAATTTTATTATTTTATTTTATTTTATGTTATTATTTTATTTTATTTTATTTTATTTTATTATTATATTTTATTATATTTTATTTATTTTATTATTATATTTTATTATATTTTATTTATTTTATTATTTTGTTTTGTTTTGTTTCATTTTTTCATTTTACTATTTTATTTTATTTTATTGTATTTATTTTATTTTATTATTTTTTATTTTATTTTATTTATTATTTTATTTTATTTTATTTTTTATTTTGCTTTTTATTTTTTATTTTATTTTAATTTTATATTTTACTTTGTTTTATTTTATTTTATTTATTTTATTATTTTGTTTCATTTCATTTTGTTTCGTTTTATTTTATTTATTTTATTATTTTATTTCATTTTATTGTATTTATTTTATTATTTTTTATTTTATTTTATTTATTATTTTATTTTATTATTTTATTTTATTATTTTATTTTATATTTTGTTTTTTATTTTTTATTTTGCTTTTTATATTTTACTTTGTTTTATTTTATTTTATTATTTTTATTTTATTTTATTTTTATATTTTATTTTATTTTGTTTTATTTTATTATTTTATTTTGTTTTGTTTTATTATTTCTTTATTTTATTTTATTTTATTTTATTTTTTATTTTATTATTTTATTTTATTTTATATTTTTTTATTTTGCTTTTTTATTTTATTTTATTTTAATTTTATATTTTACTTTGTTTTATTTTATTTTATTTTTTTTTTAGTTTATTTTATTTTCAACATGTGACTGTAATGGAGCCTGTCCATTGTGGTTGTCAGTTGTGACGGTTGTAAAGTGGGTGGCCATGTGACTACACTCATTCTGACAACCTTTCTTGTGGCATTTGTTATGTAAATGTGACAGTCATAAAGTGAACACAGTGGTCGTAAAGTGATGGTCACTGTGGGCCTTTTTTGCAAAAAAACCCCCACAAACAAACCCAGAAGTAAATGCCTGTTTACAGCAAAAATGTCGTAAAAAGCACTCATAAGACTCTGGGACATTGCAAATAGCCAAATGTGTGGGCTGGTGGCCAAGAGCTTGACTTAAGTCAAGGACTTTTATTATTTTATTTGTATTTTTATTATATATTATTTTATTTTTTATTGCGATCCTGAGCAGTTTACAATAATTAAAGCATAGAAACCCCCCCCCATACCTGACATAGAGCCGTGATGGCGCAGTGGTTAGAATGCAGAACTGCAGGCTAACTCTGCCCACAGTCTAAAGTTCGATCCTGATCGGCTCAAGGTTGACTCAGCCTTCCATCCTTCCGAGGTTAGCAAAATGAGGACCCAGATTGTTGGTGGCAAATATGCTGACTCTGTAAACTGCTTAGAGAGGGCTGTAAAGCACTGTGAAGCGGTATGTAAGTCTAAGTGCTATTGGTAGTGCTGTCTTAAGGACAAACAATAACCCCACTTGCAGACAAAAACACATCCGTTAAGTCCAGCTCATCCATCCCTCTGATCCAAAGGCCTGGGGAAACAGCCTGGACTTCAGCGCCTTGCAATAGGCTAACACAGAGGTAGGCAACCTTGGCTCTTTTATGACTCGTGGACTTCAACTCCCAGAATTCCTGAGCCAGCCATGCTGAGGGGAAAGGAAGAGGTTTCCAAGCTGAGCCATGCTGGCTCAGGAATTCTGGGAGTTGAAGTCCACCAGTCATGAGGGGGCCATAGTTCCCCCATGCTGGCTCAGGAATTCTGGGAGTTGAAGTCCACGAGTCATAAAAGAACCAAGGTTGCCTACCCCTAGGCTAACAGGATTGGGGCCATTCCAATTTCTGGGGGAAGATGCTGAAAAAGTGGTCTTTTCTGGGCAAAAGCATGACTTTAGCTTAGTTTCCTGCGTGGTGACAACTTAACCTGGAGATTTATCTCCTGTGGATTGACAAGTAACCCATTTCTCTCTCTCTCTCTCTCTCTCTCCTTGACTCTTGCAGCCCAGAAGTGGATGTACGGCGGGTTGGATACCAACGTCTTCTTGCAATACATGGCTTGGATTACCTACCCCATTGTGCTCATCACTTTCTCTGCTGGCTTTACTCAGATCTTAGCCCCGCAGGCGGTGGGTGAGTGCTGATCTGGAGAGGTGGGAAAGGAAGGAGCTGCTTTGGAGGAAGCCCAGCTGTTTGGAAGGCACACAGCTGGGAATCCACCTTGTGCCCGGCCCCTTTCTTTTCTGATCCCTAATGGAATGCCTGGGGACAAGGAAGGTCCGAATCCATCAGAGACCCAAACTCAGGGAAGTCTCCTGAAAGGTGGTTCTTTCTGCCCAACAGATCCCCTTCCTCTGCCAAAACCTTAAAGGTTTTCTCTGTATTTGAGTGATCCCTCTGTTCCCTCAGAGGGGAACGAAACCAAGGTATTCACTGCCCTGAATCCTAAGAAGCAGATCCATAGCCCATGCTTGCAGAAGATTTACACAGCTGGAAGCCTGCTGGCTGGGGAATTCTGGGAGATGAAGTCCATATATCTTGAAGTGGCTAAGTTAAATAGTTGAATGGGTTGTGTGGGCATTGATCCTGAATGAGAAGAGTTTTTTCCAGGAAGTCTCTTTCCGGTTTTTCTTTTCTGCCTCATCCATCTCTCTCTTTCTCTCTCTTCTCTTCTCTTCTCTTCTCTTCTCTTCTCTTCTCTTCTCTTCTCTTCTCTCCTCTCCTCTCCTCTCCTCTCCTCTCCTCTCCTCCCTCTCCCTCCTTCTCTTCTCCTCTCCTCTCCTCTCTCTCCCTCCTTCTCTTCTCTTCTCTCCTCTCCTCTCTCTCCCTCCTTCTCTTCTCTTCTCTCTCTCCCTCCTCTTCTCTTCTCTTCTCTTCTCTCT